GGGGGGGGGGGGGGGAGGATTCAAAGCTGGTTGTTTTTCTTGTTCTGAGATTTGTTACAAATAAAAGTTGTTACAACTTGGTTTATCAATGTGTGTTGCTGGTGTTTTTTCAGGGGCTGCAGTGTGCTTTGGGGAGTAATAACTTGGTTTAGCTTGGGAGTTGGGAAGGCCTGGGTGTTTAGCAGTGGGACCCCGGGGGGGGGGGGGGGGGGGGGTTGGTCTAGATGGCCTATCTGGTCCCATCCAGCTCAAGGTCTAATTCCGAGGCTAGATTGAAATCCTATGAACCCCTGGCTCCCAGAACTTCGGTTTCCTCATCTATAAAATGGGGGTAGTGGCACCTGACACACCTAGTTTTGGGGAGGTTAAGTCAGATGATACATATAAGCAAAGTCCTTTGGAGATTTGGAAGCCTTGTAACAGTTGAAGTACTAACCCCTTAGCAAATTACTAAGGAATTGGTGTTTCTGGGTTTACCCAGAGACTCCCTGGGTTTGCTGACGCCTGCTGGTTCGGGGCCAGGGATAAGACTGAGGCTACAAAGATTGAAAGAGGCCGTGTCTGCCCTGGGGGAGCTTCCATTCAATAAGGGGGAGACCTTAGCTGGAGGGGAGAGGTGACCTGGGAAAGGAAGTCTTGGCAAGCAAGAGTGGGGTGGGGGGGTGATGGAGGGAGGAGAAGGCCCCAGCAGGTCCCTAGTTGGGATCGCAAGCCGACATTGGCCTGGCCTGGTATCTAGGACCGGCCAGCCACTCTTGGGCCAGATGAGTTCAGAGCACAGCTCCAAGAATCTGGGCTGGGACCTAGGACGAGAGCTCAGAAGATGAGCGGATTCGGTTCCCCAGGGAATGAGTGAGCCCTGGACTCGGGCAGTCCTGGTGGGGAGAGGGTCTTGTCCTCCAGGTCCCTGGTCCAGTAGGTAGAGTGCAGGTCTGGATGGGGGAGCAGGTCCAGAGGGGCAGGGGGCTGAGAGACCTACCGAGGCAGGAGCCACTTTTAGCTTGGCAGCACTCAAAACCTGGCCAGGCTTCGGGGAGGAGAAGGAGGCAGAGAAGTGTGTGGCCTGGGCCTGGGAGGCCAGGCTGCCAGGATGGAGGCTTCCTCTTCTCAGAAGCCAGCTCCTGAGCCGAGCCCAGACTCCACCAGCAAAGCCAGCGGCTGTTCAGAAGGTGCTTTGTGCTGCTGCGGTCAACAGCCTTGTAGATAACCACAGAGGCTGGAAGGAAAGGTTACACCGAGGACTCTGGGTTCTGGAGCTTAAATTGTAAATCTGGGGGATTTACTGGCTACCCAGCTCCAGGCAAATCCTCTAGCCTCTCGGCCTGAGTTTCCCCATTCATAAACAGTAGGTGAGCCTTAAGGGACTCTAATTGCGCTCTCAGTTCCAGTTCTGTGAAGTTTAGGTTATTGGAACAGGTATTAACCGTGCCTGCTTGACAAATGAGGTAAGTGAGTCTAGGGACTGAAAAAAGCATACAGAAGTCTTTCCCCCCAACGGTGCGAACCCCACAGTGATCCAGGAGGCCCTGGACGTGTGTATCCTGGGTTGGGGAACTTCATGGGGGGACAGAATCTCTGTCAAGATTATCTCTGCCAAGCTAGGGGCTGCCCACTCCCCTAGCCTTCCAAACACTTGGGAAGGGGCCCCAGGGAATGCCAGATTCCAGAGGTCGTCCATTTCTGCCTTATCCAATGGATCTTATGCACAGGGCTGGCCTTTAGGGACAGAAGACGAGGGTCCAAATACTGATTTCTTCCTTCTGTGACCGTGGACCCGTGTAACCCCTTTCTAGGGCCCTGTTTCCTCACCTGTAAAGTGAAGACTGAGGACTGGATGGGCTATGCAGACCCTTCTGCCTCTAAATACACCCTCCCCGCCCCAAACCCAACTGGGAGCCCTGCCATGGACACCTGTCTGTTCTTGGACAGGTAAGTCCCTTTCGTCCTTGGAGCTGGGCCAGGTGAGATCCCTTCCAATCCTGGTCTATGTTCCAGGAGTCCCTGTTTCACCAGCCCCCATTCTAGTGGGAGTCTCTGATTATTTGGCGTTTAAGCCTGTGTATGCCTGGTTATTCACTGGGTGCATTGCCTCGCTGGCCTCTGTGGGCCACTCTTCCTTTGAGGATAGGCTCAAATTCACCCTGCAGAGCTTCTGGACACAGGAGCCCTCAGTCTGCTGGATTTACTATGGGTAGCCAGCCTTCCCAAGCTGGGTTCTCATTTTTGTCCCCATACAACCAAACCCCTCCAATCCACGTTGTCTGCCTTGGTTCCAATGGATGCTACTTAAACCTGGATTCAAACCATTTTTCCTGTTTCCCAGGACCAGGCAGTTTTTGTTACTAATGGACAAAGTTCATTTTTTAAATAATATTTTTTCCCCCAATTACATGTAAAGACCATTTTTAACATTTTTTTTTTCCTAAATTGGAGCTCCAAATGTTCTCCTTCCCCGAGACAGTAAGCAATTTGATATGTTACACACGTTCAATCATGCAAAACATTACCATATTAATCATGTCGTGAAGAAGGAATGGACCCAAAGGAAACACCCAAAAGTGAAAATGGTGCGCTTGGCTCTGCATTCAGACTTCATCCCTTCCTCTGGAGGTGGACGGCCTTCTCCATCCCAGTCCTTGGGGAAGCCTTGGCTCACTGTATTGGAGAGCAGAGGTGAGTCTCCCTGGGTCGTGTTCCTGCGTGCTCGGCTCACGTGGGGACCCCGGTCCCCGCCAGCCTCGACCATTTCCATTCTTCTCTTAGGTCACTCTCTTTCCGTGGGGTGGGTGGCAGCTGAAGTGGTCTTAAGAAAGGGAAGTTGGGGGACCCCGACGTCGCTCGCCAATGGGCTTCCTCCCCCCTTCCCAAATCTGGGTGCCCAGATCCCTCCTGCTCCAGTCAGGTCTCTTATCAGTTGCTCACCTGCTGACTCAATCATTAATTCCATTTTTACTGAGGCAGGCCCAACACTCAGGTTTCCAGACCTCACAGATTGGCAGAACCCTTTCCAGCTACGATCTCACTGGATCCTCACAGTCCCTCTGGGAGGAAGATAAGAGTCAGAGGGTTAAGGTTAGGAGTCCCATTTCACAGAGGAGGGAACTGAGACTCCCAGAAGTCAAGTGACTTGCTCAGGGTCACCTAGCAGCTACAGCCTCCTTCCTCTGCCCAGGCCGCTTCTCTGCTAGGTCTCAGCCTCTGAGCATCCTTTGGCACCGCCAGGGGCTGTGAATATGCGCAGCTGAAATTCCCAGGGCCTTTGCTGCAACCGGTCTTTGTCTTCAAAATCTCTCATTGTTTTATGATTTCCTCTCTTATTCAGTTGTGGGGGGAGGGAAAGAAGCTGGACCTGTGACTTCTCAGGATAGGGATCTCCCAGTGTGGGAATGCCCTTCACTAAGGCTGGGAATGCCCTTCACTAAGGCTAGTTACCACCACTTGCTCTGCCATGCCGGGTCTTGGAGCAGAGTGGCCGGCCCAGTTTGGGGCAGGGGCAAGTCTGGAGCCGAGGGCTCTCTGAATTTCTGGTCACCTCTCTAGCCATCGCCACCTGCTGCTTGCCTGCCTATATTAGCCATGAGTTAATGGGTCACTTCAGGTTCCTTCCTGGCTGGAGTGTTCCCCATCTTCGCAGCCAGTTTCTTGGTCCAGGTCCCAAGGCCAACATAGAGGGAACAGGCTCACGTTTATAGGGACAAGAGCTGCTGTTTTCCCAACAGGTAGATGGTCTGAGGCAGGAACAGACAACTCTCAAGGCCGTAGAAATCCATGTGGAGACACCCCCGTTCCCCACTCATTGGGGAAATGCGCACAAAAGCCACTGGGTGATCTCACCTCTGTGACTCTGGAATGTGCCTGCTTAGGGAAGGTGTGGAGCCTCTGGCCCCCAGGAACCCCTCCCTTTGGGCCTGCCATGCTCTCAGAGGACAGGGGAGCTGAGCTGGGGATGGGGGAACGGGATCCAGGGTTTGTGCAGGAGCCTCCCTCCCTTCCACCCCACTGGACTCCCGCTGTCCCCAGAGGCACAAAGGAAGGCAAGACTGGGTGGTTGGAGAGAGATTCCCCTGCTAAGATCCCCTCCCAGCCAGAAAGCACTTTGCTGCTGGGGGCTGGGGGCTGAGGGCTCCCCCACACGCAGCAGTGAATGTGGGGTGATGAGAGGGCCCTTGGAGTAGTGTGTGCCCCTCCCTGCCTCTCCGGGATGTGGAAGGGCCAGGGCACGGGGGTGTCCCCTGAAAATGAGAGGAACAGGACTGGATGGCCCCCTCCCCAGCTCCAAATCTGGGTTGTGGGCTCTGAGGATGCCCGCCCCTGCCCCCTAGCTGCCTAGCTAGGGACCCAATCTGGAGCCCATGGAGGAGCCAGGGGCATGGCCCTCTCCAGCTTCCTCTAAAAAGGGCGTGTGAGCACCTGGACCCCCTGGACTCCCGGACTGGCTGGGCCAGCCTGGGGAAGAGCTGGGTCTTTGTAATGCCCATAGTCCCTGAGGCCTTTCATGGACTCCCTCCCAAAACCATCCCACCCCCCCACCCCCTCCCCCCCCCCGCCCAGAGGCTGGACACTAGGACTCCCAGAGGGGCCTCCTCCTCTCTCAGAGGAAGGAGGCTGAGCAGGTCTGACCCAGGGGTGCAGAGCAGTATCCCTTCAGCCCCAGGGAACGGAAGCGAG